CTCTCTCTCTCTTTGTCTGTCTCTTTCTTTCTCTCCCTTTCTCTCTCCCTCTCCCTCCCTCCCTCCCTCCCTCTCTCTCTCTCTCCTCCTATTCTTCCTCTAAAGAGCTCATCCTTTTTCCCCCCTAAGCACACGCTAGGAAGGAGAACAAATGTGAGGATCATTTCCTGCCCTGGCCCCCAAGTCTTTCAAACACCACTTTCCAATTTTGCAGCTGCTCACTTCTCCTGGGATGGGAGCAGGACTGTCAGTTTTGAAGTCTGAGAAGCCATAGAAACTATCCCGAAGCAAAAGACTGCTTGTAATTGAGGGCTTTTGGTTCTCTCTTTAGCCGTTTGTCACCTGGATGGCTTTTTTAAAAAGAAAAAGAAAGAAAGAAAGAAAGAAAGAAAGAAAGAAAGAAAGAAAGAAAGAAAGAAAGAAAGAAAGAAAGAAAGAAAGGGAAAGAAACCTCCACGCTTCTGCACCACTGCAGGCAACAGTTTCAAATGGGCTGCACTTAAAAACATATTTGCAAATGCAAATGAAGATTGCCTTCTCTCTCTCTCTCTCTCTCTCTCTCTGACTCTCTTTCTTTCTCTCTGTCTGTTTCTTTCTTTCTCTCCCTTTCTCTCTCTCTCTTTGTCTCTTTCTCTCTTTGTCTGTCTCTCTATCTCTTTCTCTCTTTCTCTCCCTTTCTCTCTCTCTCTTTGTCTCTCTTTGTCTCTCTCTATCTCTTTCTCCCTCTCTCTTCCTCTCTCTCCCTCTCTCTTTCTTCCTCCCTCTTCCTCTCTCCCTTTCTCTCTCTTTGTCTGTCTCTTTCTTTCTCTCTGCCTGTTTCTTACTTTCTCTCCCTTTCTCTCTCTCTCTCTCTTTCTCTCTTTGTCTCTGTCTCTCTGTCTCTGTATCTCTTTCTCTTCCTCTCTGTCTTTGTCTCTGTCTATCTTTCCCTTTCCCTTTCTCTCCCTTTCTCTTTTTCTCCCTCCCTCTTGCTCTCTCCCTTTCTCTCTCTTTTTCTCTCTCTTTCTCTCTCTCTTTCTCTGTCTCTCTTTCTCTCCCTTTCTCTCTGTCTGTCTATCTCTGTCTCTCCCCCCCCTCCTTGCTCTCTCCTCTCTTACACACACACACCAACACAGGCATTGGGAGTGAAGTGACAAATTCTGAATATAATTGTATTTCATTTCAGTTAGTTGCAGATGCAGGTTGCAGATGAGGAGAAGGCAAAGAGAAACCAGGAGAATTTCTGGATTCTAGGAGCACACTGGATGGAAACATCCCCAGGGAGGCCTGCAAGGTGTGATTAAAAAAAAAAAAAGCCAAAATAAGGACCCTCAGGATGTCATGGAATCAGCCCTGGATTTTGACATACTTTCCTTGCGGTTTCCTCACCCTGCTATTTTTGACTTCTTTTTTTTACATACCCTGCCTGTCCCCATCAGGTCTCTTTTCTCTGATTCCCAGGAAGAACACGAGCAGATCTCCAGGCTAGACTGGAACACAGGTAGTCCTCGATTTACAACAGTTCATTTAGTGACCATTCAAAGTTACCACGTCACTAAAAAAAAATCGACGGACAGCTGTTTTTCCCATTTTTTTGCAGCATCCCCGCAGTCACGTGATCAAAATTCGGAGGCTTGGCAACGGCATGGACTTATGACGGTTGCAGTGTCATAAGGGGCTCACATGATTCCCCCTTTTGCGACCTTATGACAAGCAAAGTCCATGGGGGAGCCGGATTCACTTAACAACCGGGCAAACTGCAGGGCTGCATTTCACAACGGGGGCACAATAGGTCGGCAAATGGGGTCAAACTTTCTGAACAACTGCTTCACTCAGGCAGAGAAATTTTGGGCTGAATTTGTGGTTGGACGTTGAGGACTACTACCACCTCTTACGATACTAGGCAACACAGTACCACCAGTAGAGACCTTTAAATTTCTAGGTTCTATCATATCACAAGACCTAAAATGGACACCTAACATCAAAAACGTCATCAAAAAAAGCACAACAAAGAATGTTCTTTCTGCAACAACTCAGGAAGCTCAAACTGCCCAAGGAGCTGCTGATCCACTTCTACAGAGGAAGGATTGAGTCTGTCATCTGCACCTCTATAACTGTCTGGTTTGGTTCTGCAACCCAACAAGACAGACACGGACTTCAGAGGAAAATTAGGACTGCATAAAAAACAATTACTACCCACCTGCCTTCCATCGAGGACCTGTATACTGCACGAGTCAAAAAAGGACTGTGAAAATATTTACAGACCCCTCACATCCCGGACATAAACTGTTTCAACTCCTTCCCTCAAAAGGACGCTATAGAGCCCTGCACACCAGAACAACTAGACACAAGGACAGTTTTTTCCCCCAACGCCATCACTCTGCTAAACAAATAATTCCCTCAACCCTGTCCAACTATTCACTAAGTCTGCACTACTACTACTATTAATCTTCTCATCACTCCTTATCACCCCTCTCTGCCCACTTGTGACTGTACGACTGTAACTTTGTTGCTATCTATATTGACTGGCTCCTAGTATGATTTGATTGCTTATTGTACCCTATGACTATTATTAAGTGTTGTACCTCATGATTTTTGACTCTTGATGAACGTATCTTTTCTTTTATGTACACTGAGAGAATTTGCACCAAGACAAATTCCTTGTGTGTCCAATCATACTTGGCCAATAAAGAATTCTATTCTATTCTATTCTATTCTATTCTATTCTATTCTATTCTATTCTATTCTATTCTACTGTACTCTACTCTACTGTACTCTACTCTACTGTACTCTACTCTATTCTATTCTATTCTATATCCTACGTATGGGGCCTCCCTCTGAAATCTGGAAGTTTAACCTGGTAGCCACTTGGCTTTTTAAAAAGGAACTCAGATAAAAACATGGATCAAGGACAAGCTTCTGGTTTCTGATTTCCTCCCAGGCTCAACTCCAACTGCTGTTCTTCACCTGATCCTCTAAGTAGCCCATGCCTAGATTATGAACACAGGGGTTGAGGCTGCTTCCCTTGGTTCCTGGGTTTGCAGATATAATGCTGGTGGTTTTTTTGTTTTCTTTTTGTTTTAACCGTTGTGCTGTAAAAATGAGCTACCTCTTTGTTGCTTCCTCCTCTGTTAAATTACCTTTCAGTTCTCGCTGAGCATTTCTGGGCTGAAAGGAAACGCTTCTGGGGGGAAAAAAAATCACAGAAGCTCTTCACCTGTTTTTAGGCAAGATGCAACATGAGCCTGCTTGTTACCAAGGAGCTCAGCTTGCCATATTTTTCCAGGCTTGTTGACTTTGAGTAATCCAGAGGCCAGCTGGGAAAACACACTTTATTCCCGCCACGTTTCATCTCAGAGTCACACACTGTTTGCACAGAGCCGCAACTGCCATGTAGAGCCCAAATAGAGGAGGGTGAAAAAAAGGGGGACACTAAGAAAGATTCCCAGGTGACCAACATGATCTCCTGTCCCACCGATTGCTTCAGATCAAGGGAGGTACTAATACCACTCTATAAAGCCTCAGTAAGACCACACCTAGAGTACTGCATCCAGTTTTGGTCACTACACTGTAAAAAAGATGCTGAGACTCTAGAAAGAGTGGAGAGAAGAGCATGATTAGGGAACTGGAGGCTAAAACATATGATGAATGGTTGCAGGAACTGGACCTGGTTAGTCTAGTGAAGAGAAGGACCAGGGGAGACATGAGAGCAGTCTTCCAATATTTGAGGGGCTGCCAGAGAGAGGAGGGGGTCAAGCTATTTTCCAAGGCACCTGAAGTCCAGACAAGGTATAATGGGTGAATGAACAAGGAGAGATTCAACCTGGAAATAAGGAGAAATTTTCTGACAGTGAGAGCAATCCACCAATGGAACAGTTTGTCCTCGAAGTTGTGGGAGCTTCATCACTGGAAGCTTTCAAGAAGAGACTGGACTGCCATCTGTCAGAAATGGGATAGGGTCTCCTGCTTGGGCAGCAGGGAGGTGTTGGACTAGATGACCTACAAGGTCCCTTCCAATTCTGTTAATCTGTTAATTATGTGCCTCCTTTTTAAGCTTGGGATGGGCAGGCACGTCTGTGTTTTTCTTGCTTCTACCTTTGAAATCAGGTGCTTTCAATTCCAATCAAAGAAACACCAGCAATTATTTTCTTTGGCTTTCTGGAAACAAGCATGCTAGTGGGTGGAAACCAAGATGGTTTTGTCAGACAATGAAGCATTCGTGCCTCTCAAAATCCTGAGGGAGGAGGGTATGGACTGAAAAGAAGTTGGCCAAACAGAATGGATGAATAAAATGAGTTTTAAGATTGAGAAGGTAAATGGTAGGGTAAGGTATGAAGGGAAGCTACCCAGAGAAGTGAGATGTGTGGCATATAAATTTAACGAATAAATAAAATATCTGGAGAGCACTATGACAAACATGAGAGAACCAGTTTGGTCTAGTGATTAAAACACAGGGCTAGAAACCAGGAGATGGTGAGTTCTAGTCCCGCCTTAGGCATGAAGTCAACTGGGTGA